TGCGGTCGCTACCCCCCCCCCCCCTCCCGGCGGGGGACCCGGGATCAGGGATCAAAGGGAAGGGGCTTCCCTTCGACTCAATTACGAGGTTGCTCAAGGTCGGCTTGGCTGGAGCCCAGGGGAAGAGGAGTCCCAGGGGGGGGCGTCGTATCTGACCCGGGGGGGGGGTCGCTACCCCCCCCCCCCTCCCGGCGGGGGAGGGATCAAAGGGAAGGGGCTTCCCTTCGACTCAATTACGAGGTTGCTCAAGGTCGGCTTGGCTGGAGCCCAGGGGAAGAGGTCTCCCAGGGAAAGGGAAGGACAGAGACGACGAGTACAAAGAATGACGGAGATGACGGCTCGAACGGAAAAGGCCCTCACACACGCCGACAGGGTCGGCGGATTTTGCAAGCCGCCTCCGTTTGTTCGAGAGTGTGGTGACCACGACAGCCGTGTGCGGAGCTTCGAGCTGGACACTTCCAGCAGAGTTGTGCCGCAAACCGAAGACACTGCAGCGCAATCTACTACGAATGATTCGGGGATATGGAAGGCAAGTAGTCGATACGCACGCCGACAATGCGTCCAATTTCACCGATTCGTCGTCGACGAATCCGGGCGAAGATGCTGGGAACGACGGCGAGAGCGTGGAAGCTGGGTACACTGGGTTATCAGGACGACGCAGACCATCGAACCACATGCAGTTCAGACCCAATCGGACGGTCGGTGCTCGACTTAGAGACGACGGGTGTGGAGATTTGCGGAGACTTGCGTACAAGGTTGCTTGCAAGTCTACCGGGAAGTAGACGCAACGAGCTGCAATGTGGGACGCCAGCCAAGGCAATCCAGCGAGAGACAGATTACCCAACAGGCCGCGCAAGCGTTGGCCTGACGACTCATGCCGGTATCTACAAAGTCTGGACATGGATGCCAAGACAAAGAATTTGTTTCGATTTCCTACAGAAGGAGAATGGCATACTTTCGAACACTCGACGCTGGTTCCGTGCACCTGCCGTACTGAGCGTTTCGTGTGCTGCGCGCCCATCTCCCTCGACCAGAAAACTCTGCGGAGGTGGCGTCCATCCGTCCGTTCCCTGGTATCGCTCGGACGTGTGCACTCTTTCTCGGCGGGGATTCTTAAGGAGAGTCCCGGATCGTCCTGCGAGAAAGCCGCGCACGGAACCGAAAAAAAGGCACAGGGAATGGACGTCCGAGCGACGGGGAGGTTCTCGTGTGCCTCCCCGCCTCCACCATGGGGGGAAGCGCCGAGCCGGAATCGGCGATACGTCGTCGCCGTCGCCATCGCCGTCGCGGTCGTGGTCGCCGTCGTCGTCGTGGTCGTCGTCGTGGTCGTGGTCGTCGTCGTCGTCGTCGTCGTCGTCGTCGTCGTCGTCGTCGTCGTCGTCGTCGTCGTCGACGTTCTGGGCCTTGGCCTTCTTGACCTCTGGCGGGGGGCGGCCCCATCCCCGTCGTCTCACTCTCCTGCCATCCACGACCTGCACAGACAGGCCCACGCGGAGGACTACGCCGTGGTCTCTTGGGGGCCTCTGGAGCTGCAAGATTTTTGCAGACAAGGAGGAGGAGGAGGAGGAGGAGGAGGAGGAGGAGGAGGGGGAGGAGGAAGAGGAGGAGGAGGAGGAGGAGGAAGAGGAGGAGGAGGTGGAGGAGGTGGACGAGGAGGAGGAGGAGGAGGAGGACGGAGAGGGGCGCACACCTGTGATACATGCCACGGTCTCGTCGGTGTCCCGTGCAAGCGCGACGACAGACCACGCAGCAATACCCTTCTCGGGGTAACCAAGAAAGCGAGGACCGTCAAGATAGCTATCGTCAGTAAGCAACTGAGGGCCTCCATACCACGGAGCATCCGGGTCCCTCGGCAATTGCCAGAGACATTGCCGCACCTTTGGCGTCGGCAGGAGGGCGCGCCAGCATGCGGCACGAGAGTGATCTCGTTCTGCTCGGCATTCGGAATCACCAGGCACGTTCCACTACTCGCGAAGTGCCTACTCGCTAACGTCAAAAAAAAAATGCTCGCTTCGAGGAGATTTATCGCAGACCCCGCGCGGCGGATCCAGGCCTTTTGCGAGCGGTTACCTTGCGAGTAGCGGAGCGCGCTCGGCTACGGAAAGAAGTGTCATGGCGCCAACTTCGCAGAGCGGATTTCGTTCGGAAAACGACAGAGTGGGTCCTGGAGAGTTTCGTTCCGGATTTCGAGGTGAATTTCGTGCGGGTTTTTTGGCCAGGAGTGAAGACCAAAAAAGAACCCGCGCGAAATCCACTTCGATTTTCGCTCGCCGCCTCGGGCAAGAATCCAAGCAGAAATCCGCGCAGAAATCCGCCGCAGCACGTCTGCAAGGCCAGTGCAATGAGAAATGCCTGAGCGGAGAAGGAGATTGGCCTGTGGATAATTGGTCGTACTCGTTGATATTTCCTCGCGCTCAGAGCAGAGGCCCCTAGGGGCGTTGCGAGCTTCTGGTGTCGTAACACGGACTCATCGATTGACCTTGCACGCGCACCGTGGTACCAGCGGAAGGGAAATGCCAGCACGTGTCTCCACAAGAGAGCTTCTATTGCAACGCCCTCTGCCTTGTTACGTCTAGACCTCGCCAAATCCCCCTCCTCTTCCTCCGCTTTCTCTCCTCCTCCTCCTCCTCCTCCTCCTCCTCCTCCTCCTCCTATCCTCCTCCTCCTCCTCCTCCTCTCCTCCTCCGCCCCTCCTCCTCCTCCTCCTCCCTCCTCCTACTCCTCCTCCTTCCTCCTCCTTCCTCCTCCTCCGCCTCGCCTCCTCCTCCTCGCCTCCTCCTCTCCTCCGCCTTCTCCTCCTCCTTCCTCCTTTCCTCCTCCGCCTCCTCCTCCTCCTCCTCCTCCGCCCTCCTCCTCCGCCTCCTCCTCCTCCTCCTCCTCCCCCATCTCCTGACGCGTCGATGAGCGAATTGGCCGTGCTCGGTTCGCGAGAGGCCGTCGCGGCCGCCCTTTTTGCGGGTCCAGGTCCGTCGGTTTCGGTCCTAGGCCGTTGTCATTAAAGGTCAGCCACGCGCAGAGGGGGGTGGGGGGAGGGGGGAGGGCTTCTTAGAAACACCCCTGCTTCTTAGAAGGCGCGGGCCTTACCTACAGATGTAAGAATGGCGCCTTCTAAGAAGCAGCCTCCTTCTAAGAAGCCCTCCCCCCTCCCTCCACCCCCTTGTGCGCGCCGCCAAAAAAGGGTGGTTTACTAAAGGGAGGCTTGTCCACCGCCGAAGGGGGCGGAGCATGGGGCCCGTGCTCGTGCCAGCGCCTGCAAGTGAAGCAAAAACGGCACAAACATTATGTCGGGCGTGTCCCCCTACGGGTCTTCGACGAAAAATAAGAAATACCCCCAGAATACCCCAGAAGGTCCCAAAAAACTCGAAGAATAGTATCCCGACGATTTTTGGCTTGTGTTTTGATTTTATTTGGGGTATTTTTTTTTTTCGTCGAAAACCCCCTGTAGGGGGACAGGCCCGACTTAACACAAACATGAACTTTTGGCGTTCCGCGCGGACTTCTTGGATCCGTGCTGGGCCCCCCCCCCCCCCCCGGCGGCGCCTCCGGTGCCGCCCCCGGCGCGCTCCGCGCGCCGGGGAGGGGGGGTCTGGCGCGGATCCAAGAAATCCGCGCGGAGCGCCCAAAGTTTATGTTTATACCGCTCTTCCATGCAAGGGAGGAGGGCTGGCTCCTTATAGGGGGGAGCATCGACGACCCCCAGTATCGAGGACATGCGAGCATCCGTTCAGGCGCGTGGATTGGCGACGGGCCCCGCTTCCTTGCGACATCGGCGCGTTCCGTCACCGATTCAGGGGGCATTGGCTCCATGTTCTGGAGTTTTTGTGCCCCCAATCCGTGGATCTGCCGCCCACGTGCCAGATCCACGGATCCGTAGTCCATGTCGGCGTAAGCCCGATGAAGAGTTGGAGGAGAACAAGGAAGAGGCAGAGGACGAGGAGGAGGAGGAGGAGCAGTGCAAACCCAAGACTCCTGGACATCATCGATGTTGGAAGAAACCCTCCCTCGAGCTCCCTCTCCATAAGCCCCTATCAGGGTTCCTTCCACTCAGGGAAGTGCTCCGTTGGGAGACAACCGTTGGAAGTGCTCGAAGCGTGCCAAAACATCATCGGAAGTTCAACGCCACGAATCATTTGGACTGCTGTGTCTTGGCAATCCCGAATCGTGCCAGAACACCGCTCCTAGGACTTCACCGCCGCGAGTCAACGCAGCTGTCGCGCCCTCACGATCCTGAGTCGCTGCAAAACACACTTTCTGGGTACGTTAACCGTGGGAACCCGTGAAACTCCTGCAGTTTCTGAAGACGAATGCGCGCGGCGCCACGGCGAGAACCACATTTTGAAAAGCAACGTCCCTCAATCCGTGAAGCTCTTGCAATTTGTTTGAAACGAATGTGCGCGGCGCTAAGGCGAGAGCAGCATTTGGAAAACGGCCAGCCCTCAATCCGTGAAGCTCCTGCAGATCTTTGCGACGAGTGTGCACGGCGTTGAGGCGAGCGCCGCATTTTGAAAACCGCCCGCCCCCAAGCCGTAAAAGTCCTGCAGACGTTCAAGGCAAATGTGCGCGGCGCTGGGGCGAGAGCCACACTTTGGAAGCGGCCCGCCCTCCGTCGGGGAAGCGGCTGGCAGCTTGCAGGCTTCATGATCATAAGTGGCGAGGAGGTCTCGGGCGAAATGCCGGGCCCGCCATGAAAAAATTGGCCTCGGGGTGAGACAGGGGAAAGTTGTTTGGAACTTAGAAGGAAAAGGAATGGAGGAGGAGGAGGAGGAGGAGGCGGAGGAGGAGGAGGAGGAAGAGGAGGAGGAGGAGGAGGAGGAGGAGGCGAGGGAGGAGGAGGAGGAGGAGGAGGAGGAGGACGACGAGGCGGAGGAGGCGGAGGAGGAGGAGGAGGAGGAGGAGGAGACGAGGGAGGAGGAGGAGGAGGAGGAGGAGGAGGCTGTTTTTATAGGGCACGGAGTGGAGGAAGAGGGGGCCAGCGGAGGCGGCCGCTTTCCGGCCCCCCTGGAGGCTCGCAGCGGCCCGCGCCGCGGACGCGGCCGCGGCGCGGCCGCCGCCCTCCGCCGTGGCGCCGCGCCGCCTGGCGGCGACCTCGGGCGCCGCGGTGCGCATCGTGTGGGGCATCACGGTGCAGGAGCGGCGGGGGCGCGGCCGCGAGGTTCGAGGTGCGGCACCAGAGGGGAGATTCAAAGCGTCGCCCAGCTTACTTGCAAGATTCGCATGCCGCCCCCACGCCTACTTCAGCACACCTCTCGCACGGGCAGGGTTCGCGCTGCGCCCCCCGACCCATTGCGGCACACCCCATCGTGCGGATCGTGCGCACAAGGAACACCACGTACACCCTAGGCGATGCTTAAGAAAACCTAAGTTTTCGTCCAGAGTCTCGATTATTCTTAACTTTTCGATGTAAATCCTAAGATTTTGATAGAAGTTCTGGGTTCTATTCAAGTTCTGAGACTACGAATATCTTAACCCATGATTTCTTAAGCATTTCGCAGGGTGTAAAGGCCCAGAGACAAGGTTCGTACAGCGTCCCCCCCGCCCATGTTGGCAAACCCGTCGCGCAAAAATTATGCCCCCAGACGAGCTCCGCCGATGGCACCACTTGGCAGTTCGCATGTCGCCCCCCCGCCCATTTCAAAACAGAGTGACCTGCAACGAATCAGAGCGTGAATTACCTACCCCGCTTTCGCTTCCAGACAAAACCAAGCCATACCACGCACCTCCTCGTCAAGCGGCCTGACCAGTACAGGCCGTAGTTTGGCATCGCTTGGTATCTCTTGGAAGCGAGGGTGGTCAAAAGCGAGGTAGGTTTGTTTTCACCCTATGCAACGAAGCTTTTTGCATTCGTTGCGGGGTGGGGGGTCGTCCTTGGGACGTGGGGGGTGGGGGCCCGCTACAAAGGGAATCCCTTTGCAATCCGCCACAAAAGGAATCCTTCTGCACTCCTCCACAAAAGGAATCCCTTTGTAATCCGCCACAATCAGATTTCTTTTCTACTCCACCACCAAAGGATTCCTCTTGTGTCTCTCAACAGAAATATTGTTCGTATACCGCCGCAAGAGGCATCCTTTCTGGTATTCCGCCACAAAGGGGTTCCTCTTGTATTTGGTAGGGATGCTGGGAACATTGTTTTTCTTTGTGTCATCACAGAGAACACAGAGATTATTTAAAAATGCATTGCTCTTCTCTGTGCCAGCACAGAGAACACAGGAGCAGGAAGAGCAGGAGGAGGAGGAGGATCGAAGAGCATCGAGGCGTAGGCGGAGGATCGAGGAGCATCGATGTTGTTGATGATGATGATGTTGATGATGATGATGATGGTGATGATGGTGATGGTCATGGTCATGGGCATGATGATGATGATGAAGATGGTGATGATGATGATGAGGCTGATGAGGAGGATGAGGAGGATAGTGAGAATGAGGACGATGCCGACGATGATGATGACGGTGATGGTGATGGTGATGATGGTAATGGTGGTGTTGCTGATGGTGTTGATGATGATGTTGACGATGATGGTGATGGTGATGGTGATGGTGATGATGATGATGATGATGACGATGATGATGATGATGATGATGATGATGATGATGATGGTAATGATGCTGATGACGATGATGATACTGATGATGATGGTGATAACGACGACGACCACGACCACGACGACGACGCTGCTGCTGCTGATGATGATGACGATGATGATGCTGCTGCTGCGGATTATGATCATGACCACGACGATATTGTTGTTGGTGATGATGATGCTGATGAAGGTGATCCCGCTGACGACGACGACGACGACGATGCTGTTGATGATGCTGATGATGGTGGTGATTGTGATGGTGATAATGATGACGATGATTGTGATGATGATGCTGGTGATGAGGAGGAGGATGATGATGATGAGGATGATGACGGTGCTGCTGCTGGTGCAGAGGACGCGTGTGATGTTGATGATGTTGTTGATGACGATGATGCTGATGTTGATACTAACCCCATGCCCACGATAATAATGTACCCCCCCCCCTTAAGTAGTTAGAGTTTTTTATCGTCGACCAATAAGAGTTTGGTCGGGGGCGCGGGGGCGCTGAGGCCGAACTTCATTATCACGAAAAAAGTTAGCCATCGAGGTTACTTCATTCTCATGCTTCTCGTGATCTTCCTCCTTCTCATCATTATCATCTTTCTTTTCTTCTTTCGTTACCTCTCTCTTTCTATTTCTGTTTCTTCTTGTCTCCCTGCCCCCCTGAACTTGTTTATCGCTGGGGTCGATTATCCTGGGAAAACTAAGCACATGAGCTAACACGAGCAGATGAAACTTTTAATTTTCATTAAGCGTTTACAAATTAAATCTAATAAGTTTTGAACTTTGGATTTGTGTTTCTTCCTCTTCCTCTGCTTCCCCTGCTCTTCCTCCTTCTCATCCTTCTGCTCTTTCTGTTATTCTTTCTTTATCTCTATCTCGTTCTATTTCGGTTTCTTCTTGTCTCCATGCCCCCTGAACTTGTTTATCGCTGTGGTTGATTACCCTGGGGGAACTAGGCAGAGCGAGCAGATGGAAACCTTAATTTCCTTTAAGCGTTTACAAATTAAATCTAATAAGTTTTGAACTTTGGAGTGTCGCTTCTTCCTTCTCCGCTCCTCTCTCCTCCTCCTGCTCCCCCTGATCTTCTTCTTTTCCTTATATATATATATGTGTGTGTTCTTTGGAGTTCCTTCTCTCTCTGGCAGCTTGATATCTCTTTATGCTGGCTCTGGCGGGCAACTTTTATTATCCCCCCGAAAACCCATAACTTTATTATCCCTTAGGGCTTATTATCTGCAGCAAGGGGTCAATGTTGTTGATGATGCTGATGATGAGGAGGAGGAGGAGGATGTTGTTGATGACGATGCTGGTGGTGATGATGATGAGACCGACGATGATGGTGATGATGCTGATGACGATTACGACGACGATGTCGACGGCGACGATGGTGCTAATTCCGACAATGTTGATGATGAGGTTGTTGATGTTGATGATGATGGTGATGATGATGATGCGGATTGTGATGATGATGATGATGGTGATGTTGATGATGATGGTGTTGATGTTGATGATAATGATGATGATGATGATGATGATGATGATGATGATGACGATAATGATGATGGTGCTGATGGTGAAATGAGTATGGCGATGATGATGGTGCTGATGAGGAGGAGGAGGAGGATGCTGATGATGGTGGTGACATGATGGTGGTGATGGTTATGCGGTTGATTATGGTGATTGTGAGATTGATGGTGATGGTGATAATGATGATGATGATGATGCTGATGATGCTGATGATGATGATGCGGATGATGGTGGTGCTGATGTTGATGATGATGGTGATGATGACGATGATGGTGATGTTGATGACAATGATGATGATGATGATGATGATGATGATGATGATGATGATGATGATGATGATGATGATGATGATGATGAAGATGATGGTGATGGTGATGGTGATGGTGATGGTGATGGTGATGGTGATGGTGATGGTGATGGTGATGGTGATGATGTTGATGATGTCGATGGTGAAGTCGACGATAATGATGATGCTGATGATGATGATGAGGATGAGGATGATGATGAGGATGCTTATGCTGAGGAGGAGGAGGTGGAGGAGGTGAATGAGGCGGGTGAGGAGCAGCATTAGGAGACGGAGGAGACGGGTCAGGAGGAGGAGGAGGAGGACTAGGGTCGAAGAGCATCAAGGAGAAAGAGAAGGAAGAGGAGGATGATGATGATGAGGAGGAGGAGGAGGAAATGAGAAGGACGAGGGACTGGAGTAGACGGAGGAGGAGGACGACGAGGACGAGGAGACGTGAACGATGACGATTAGGAGTTTTTGGTTTTGAACCCAAAGACGTGGGTTGCAGTCAAGCGCTAACTCCCAAGACTAGGAGGAGGAGGAGGAGGAGGAGGAGGAGGAGGCTGAGGAGGAGGAAGAGGGAGGAGGAGGGAGGATGGAGGAGGGAGGAGGGAGAAGGGGGGTGGGAGGGGGAGAGGGGAGGATACCTTCGGATTCATGTCGGATTACACGGCCTTTGAGGGTGGTTGGCCTCTATGTCTACACATGTGTGAGGGCGCAGCCCCAATATGAAGGGGCCAACGCGTGCTGGGTCCAAGTCCAATCATGAAGGGGTCAATGTACGAAGGGATCAGCGCATGAGGGGCCCGCGCCGCGGCAGGAGGGATCGACTCATGAGGAGCCAGGCCGTAGCGGTAGGGTCAGCGAGTGGCGGGTCAACGCATGAGATGTCCTATACAAGGGGTCGGAACCCCAGCGGACGGCACGTGCATTCCGCATATCGTGTGGCCGTAACATGGTTCAACAGTTCGTATCAAGATGCGTAGGACGAGGTAGAGATGGCGGCCAAAGCGTTAGTGCGGGGCAGCAGCATGAGCTAGAAAGAACAAGTACATGGGGATACCAACGTGGCGAAGGACGATCTGGGGGAGGGGGATAAGGAGGAGGAGGAGGAGAGGAGGAGGCGGAGGAGGATGGAGGAGGAGGAGAAGGAGGAGGAGGGTGCAGAGGAGGGGGGCGGAGAAGATGAAAGAGAGGAGGAGAGTAGGAGGGATGAGGGGGAGAAGAGGAGGAGGAGGAGGGAGGAAAGGGCGAGGAGGAGGAGGACGCGATTACGAAAGGAGGAGGAGGAGGAGTAGGAGGAGAGAGGGCGACGGACGAGGAGGGACGGAGAAGGAGGATGGAGAGGAGGGGTGTGAGATACGTGAGGAGGAGGAGGGGAGGAGGAGGAGGAGGAGGGAGGAGGAGGAGGAGGAGGAGGATGGGGACGACGAGGTAGGCGGAGGACGAGGAGGAGGAGATGGAGGAGGATGGAGGAGGAGGGGGAGGAGGAGGAGGAGGAGGGAGTGAGGAGGAGGAAGAGGTTAGGAGGAGAGAGAGGAGGAGGAGGAGGAGGATGGAGGCGAGCGGAGGAGGAGGAGGAGGAGGAGAGCAGGAGAGCAGGAGGAGGAGGAGGAGGACGAGGAGGAGGAGGAGGAGGACGAGGAGGAGGAGGAGGAGGAGGAGGAGGGAGAGAGGAGCAGGAGGAGGAGGAGGAGGAGGAGGAGGAGGAGGAGGAGGAGGAGGAGCAGGACAAGGAGGAGGATGAGAGGGAGGAGGAGGAGAAGGAGGAGAGGAAGGAGAAGGAGAACAAGGAGGAGAAGGAATGGAGGAGGAGGAGGAGAGGGAGGAGGGGAGGAGGAGGAGACGACGAGGTAGGCCCAGGAGGAGGGGGAGGAGGATGGAGGGAGGAGGATGGAGGAGGAGGAGGAGAGGGAGGAGGAGGAGAGGAGGAGGAGTAGGATGGAGGATGAGGAGGACGAGGTAGGCGGAGGAGAGGAAGAGGACGGCGGAGGAGGAGGGAAAAAGGAGGAGAGGAGGAGGAGGAGGTGGAGGGGGAGGAGGAGGAGGATGAGGAGAAGAGGAGGAGGAGGAGGAGCGAGAGGGGAAGTGATGGACGAGGAGGAGGAGGTAGGAGGAGGAGGAGGAGGAGGAGGAGACGGAGGAGGAGAAGGAGGAGGAGGACGTCGAGGTAGGCGGAGGGCGAGGAGGAGGAGGAGGAAGAGGAGGAGGAGGAGGAGGAGGAGGAGGAGGAGGAGGAGGAGGAGGAGGAGGAGGAGGAGGATCCCGCCCTGCCCTCATCCTGCGCACCCGCCCGCAGGAGCTTGGCCCCTTCGACCTGTTCGCGCAGACGGCGACGGAGCAGTACTGGGACTTCACCCCTATGTTCAACCCGGCCGATCCGTGGGCGCAGCGGCCCCCGGGAGGGAAAGAAATTTTGCGGACCATGCCTCACGACTGGTAAGGCCTCGGGTTGTGCACGCAGCAGGGTCCATCTCGATCCCGTCGATCCGCTTCGGTATCGGTGCTTGCTGGCCCGAGCCGGCTCGATTCCCATATCCCGACGATCCGATGCGGCCCGACGTTTGCAGGGCGCTGTGGTGCACATTGGCGCAGCCGGTCCGATTCGATTTCGATTCCGTGCCGGTGCAGCCCGATCCGATGCACATTTTGAGTCGATCCGGCTTGCCGATTCGATGATGATTGATCTTGCACACAGCCTCCCCCGGTAATCCCGGCTGGCCTCGACATCCCTCCGACCAACACCTTGGCACTGCCTCCGGCGGCTCCCCCGGGGCGCTCCGCGCCCCAGGGCTGAGATGTCGAGACCGCCCCGGACTACTCGGGGGGCCTGTTGAGGCCAACCGGGACTGCCTGGGAGGTCTGTCTGCGCGCAACCTAAAAGCCTTACTCGGGGGCGGCAAAGAGGGGGTGGATATCATGGCGGGGGCCATGGTATTTCCCCAGATTTCATGGTGCCTCTTCTTATTTCATTGCGTCCCTGGCCCCCCCGCTGGGCCGCGCACATGCCGCCGGTCGTGATTTGCACCCCCCCCTCTTGGACACCCCCCTTTTTGGCCGCTCCCGAGACAGCCAGCCACGCGCAGAGGGTCTTTGTGTCCCCACGTGGTATTTGTCCCCTCGTCCTGCCCCTCGTCCTTCTCTCCTCCTCCTCCTCCTCCTCCTCCTCCTCCTCCTCCTCCTCCTCCTCCTCCTCCTCCTCCTCCTCATCGTCATCGTCAAATCGTAGACCATCCTCGCTGAGGGGCAGCGGCGCGCACAGCGGAGGCCCCTGCCGAGAGACACCCTGCTTGCCTCCAGGGTGCCCTGGGTTTCCTGGGCTTCGATGGTCTTGCGATGGAGGGCGCGACGTTCCCACGCCAAAGATCGACGGACGTCCTGGGGTCTCAGGGTTGGATTTCTTCGGGAAGGTTTCTTGTGGTCGGGACCCCACTGTGTCGCCCGCGGGAGGAGGATGAGGAGGAGAAGGAGGAGGAATATTGGGGAAGAGGAGGGGGATGGTGGAAGAGGAGGAGAAGGAGAAGGAGGAGGAGGATGGGGAAGGAGGAGGAGGAGGAGGAGGAGGGGAAGAGGAGGAGGAGGAGGAGGAGGAGGAGGAGGAGAGGAGGAGGAAGAAGAATGGAGGAGAGGAGGAGGAGTGAGGAGGAGGAGAAGAAGAGGAGGAGGAGGGAGAGGAGGAGGAGGAGGAGGAGGAGGAGGAGGAGGAGGAGGAGGAGGGGGGAGGGAGGAGGGAGAGAGAGAGGAGGAGGGGAGGAGGAGGATGAGAAGGAGGAGGATGGGGGAGGAGGAGGAGGAGGAGGAGGAGGAGGAGGAGGAGGAGGAGGAGGAGGAGCAGGAGCAGGAGCAGGAGGAGCAGGAGGAGGAGGAGGAGGAGGAGGAGGAGCAGGACGAGGAGGAGAAGGAGGAGGAGGAGGAGGGCTGGCCTCACTGTAGACCGTCCTCGCTGAGGGGCAGCGGCCCGTACGGTCCGTGCCCGAGACCAGCGGTCGACGAGGTCTCGCGGCATCTTGGCCGTGGTCGTCGCGCTTCGGCTCTCGAGATCTACGTCGGGCACGTTCCTCCACTGGAGGAGCGTTCAAGAATCGTCAACAAGAAGTATGGGGAGGACGTTTCTACTATTCTTCGATTTCTGAGTCTTTTTGAGTATTGCTTGAATGTGTTTTGAGTATTGTTTGAGCATTTTTCGGGTCTGTTTGATCATCTTGCTGTTTTGGGGGGATTTTCATTTTTCGTCCCAATCCGCCTGTAGGGGGACATGCCCGACCTGACTCAAGGTCCATGCTGGCCTCGTCTGAGAACTTGCCGGAGTCGCTGCGCGTCTTGTCGCCCGCGAACCCGCGGGGCACTTGGCTGCACGTCTTCGAGACGTGGCTGAGGCACAGGGGCAAGGACTTCCCCTCGCCCAACTTCGACGTGGACCTTGCGGCATTCCTGAAGTCAAACTCGGACTTCGAGGAGAGCTTCCTGAAGGATCAGGGGCAGCGTTAGGGGGGCTGGGCTCAGGGGGGGACGCATCGCCCCCCCATCGCCCGTGCATCGCCGATGGGGGCGCGATAGCCCACCCCGCCCAGGAACGTGCGGGTTCGCCATCGAGGGCCTGTCGCCGATCTATCGGCGATGCATCGCCGATTGCAAAGGCCATGTCTCCCCCCCGAGTTGGGCCGATGGTCATGGTGGCTTTCCGGTCACAACTCGGGCCTCCAGCGGCCATTCGAGACGATCTGGGCATCCCCAGAACGCTCTCGGCGAGGCGCAGCCGCTGGCAAGCCGCCGATAACCAACGAAACCGTCCGACCACCTCGAACTTCGAAACTTCGAACCTCCCCCCTGTTCCCCTCGAAGGAGCCGGGCTCTGGCGTGGTCCGAGCGTGCATGGTCGACTTCCACCTTGAGCTTGGCGAGTTCGCCGACATCGGCACCGCGCTGCAGGCCAGATCGACAGAGCAGTAAGAGTTTCGGAGGCCTAGAGGTTGGCACCAACACCAGTATTTCCGTGTTGCCTCGGCTGAGGGAAGATGATGCTGATCTCGGCGATGGTGGTGGTACTCGGGCCTCTCGAGTGGCCGAGAGACTGCCACCGGCACCAAAACCCAGGATCGCCTTCACCCAGCGATGGCAACTCCCAGTGCTGGGGCTGGTGCCAATCTCCAGGCCCTCAGAAAAGCGGCGTGAAGATGCCCTCCACAGGTCCGCGCGGATCTCTCCGGTCAGCGCTGGATCCTCCCCCCCCCAGTCCTAAAACAGGGCTAGGATCGGGATAAATCGCTCCAGAGCGTTCCGGAGCGCTCTCAGAGCGTTCCGGAACGCTCTGGAGCGGCCGCGGCGCCCAATACATCTTCCAAACCCGCCGATTCTCAGAGATTTCGAGTTATCTCGATCCGATTTTGTCCCGATCTTCGCGTCGTTTTAAGTCCCCACCCCTCCCGGCGGCGCCTCTCGCGCCAGAGTTCCTGGCGAGCTCCGCTCGCTGGGGGAGCGGTGCGAGGAGGGGGGGCCGGCGTTGGCCCAGGAGATCCGCGCGGGCCTCCGAGGGTTTATGCACAAAAGGGATCTGAACAGAGACGCTGCTCAGCCTGAGCAGCGCCTTCCTCCTCCTCCTCCTCCTCCTCCTCCTCTTCCTCCTCCTCCCCCTCCTCCTCCTACTGAACAGAGACGCTGCTCAGCCTGAGCAGCGTCTCTGTTTCGGTGTATCGTATGAGTATCTACATGGGTTTGCACTGCGAGGTCCTGGTGTGTCGTAATTGTATCTACATACGGTTGCATCACCAGGCGTATCTGGGAGTTGTATCGAGTATTTAGTGTCTCGGTATCTGGAAATATTTGCACATACGAGCGTGTGTGGGCCATGTGCCCAACGTAATGCTCAGGGTATACCACATGATTCTCGACAGGCAAAGTTACTGCGAGATGTGAGTATGAGAATTGTTGTACCGGATCTGATCAATATCGACATGTGCCTCCCAGATGCGATGGTAATCGTGGGTGGGGCAGGGTGTGTAGGTGGGTGGGTGGTGGTGGGTGGTGGGGGGGGTGATTCGTAAGAGAGAAATGTCATAAACACTTGTTCGGCCCTCCGCGCGGGTTTCTTGGATCTGCGCTGGGGCCCCCTTGGCTGCGCCTCCCGCGCCCCGCGCGCCAGGGAGTGGAATTCGGCGCAGCTCCATGAAGTCCGCGCGGAGCTCTGATGACTTACATTAATGTTAAATCGGGCGTGTCCCTCTACAGGAGGAATATTCAAAAATAGTCAAAATAGTCTGGGAACGATGTTTGGAGTGCTTTTGACCATTTGGGATTATTTGTATACTATTTGTTTTAGTGTTCGTACAAGATCCCCCCGTAGGAGGACACGCCCGACCTAAGTTTAAGTTAATGCTGCTTTCTGTTCCTCTAGTATCCCCACTGGCCCATCCATTGATTATCCTTATTATCGCCGTCGCCATCCCCGCGCGCCCTCCTCGTTGTCATCATGGCAGTTCCTTTTTTTTGTGTCACATGCTCTGGGGGTTGATACGGTTCCGGGGCATGCTGCTTGAAATGGGCGGTTCGCGCCCACATCGCGGGGGTATATATCAGGAGGGGAAAAACACACAGACACAATTAATCGTCGATTCCCCAGAAAATGTAGGAAAATACGGGAAGTGGGGGGGAAGACAAAACCCCAGAAAATATGGGAAAATATGGGGGATCCTGTGATTTGTGTGTATTTATCTGTGTGTCCCAGGCCCCCCTCAATGTAATTGGAGTGCAGGTTCACCAATCGGGTCGGGGGTGCCGCGCGATCAGGTTCGGTTCGTGACAGGGCGCGCCTGCGGCAGGTTGGCTCGTGCAGCACCGGGTAGACAGAGGCGGCCCGTCCTCCTCCTCCTCCTCCTCCTCCTCCTCTTCCTCCTCCTCCTCCTCCTCCTCCTCCTCCTCCTCCCCCTCCTCCTCCTCCTCCTCCTCCTCCTCCTCCTCCTCCTCCTCCTCCTGCCCCTCCCTCCCCCCCTCCCCCCGGAAGCAGGTTGCGTTCCAGAGCCGTTGCCCCCCGTCCTCCGCGGCCGGCGACCGGATCGGGTCTTGCCTCGCAGCGCCACACACACACACCATCACCTTTTACTCGTCGTCTGCCTCCCTGCCTCTCCCCCTCGGGAGAGGAGGGCGGGAGGGGGAGGACGGGGAGGGAGGAGGACGGGAAGGAGAGGAGGCGTGAGGAGGAGGGAGGACGGGGAGGGAGGAGGAGGCGGGAGGGACCAGGGAGAAGCAGGAGGCGGGAGGAGGAGGGGAGGACGGGGAGGGAGGAGGAGGCGGGAGGGGCCGGGGAGAAGCAGGAGGCGGGAGGAGGAGGAGGAGGAGGAGGAGGAGGAGGAGGAGGGGGGGGGCGAGGAACAGGGGGGAGGAAGGACGAGGAGGAGCGGGGAGGGGAGGAGTGACGGACGAGCCAGACCAGGCGCAGACCGCCAGGCAATGCAACGGGGAGATCGTGCGTCCCGCTTGCGGCCCCTTGCGTTTCCCTTCGTCTCGCGTCATGCATGTTTTTCTTGGAGACGAAGAAGAAGAAGAAGAAGAAGAAGAGAGAAAAAACAAAAAACGAAAAAAACAAAAAACAAAAAAAAAAAAAAAAAAAAAAAAAAAAAAAAAACGCGCGCTTGCAAGGCAAAATGCTAGATCACATGAGGCCCATCGCGGGGCCATTTTGGCAGCCAGGCGCGCAACAACAACAACAACAACAACAACAACAACAACAACAACAACAACAATAAAAACAACAACAACAACAACAACAACAACAACAACAACAACAACAACAACAACAACAACAATCACTTTACCCGAACGCTCAGTGTTCTCACCAGTGCCAGGGTTTTCATGCGACGCCAGCCAATACCCCCACTTTGTGGGGGGGGCAGTGCAAGTTCTACCAAATATCCACACGACTCTTCGCCACCACCCACACCCAGCTTCCCGCCCTATGACGTTCGGACACTTCACTTCGTGGCCTGCGGACGACCGTGGCTACTACACTGGCGTGGAGTACACACCCACAGAAGTTGTGAAGCCTACGTTCGTACACCCACAGAAGGGCTTATTGGGTCCTCACGGCGGGCTCTTGGGGCCTCTTGAAGGCCTCCTGGGGCAACCTATGGCGCAACCAGTAGGGGGACGTTTTATTCTCGGCGGCCGAGGGCGCAACCTATGGCGCAACCAATAGGGGGACGTTTTATTCTCGGCGGCCGAGGGCGCAACCTATGGCGCAACCGCACGGGATTGTGGCCCCTGGCAGGCGCGCGAACCCCGTTGCAAGAGCGTGCGAAAGTAGCTCGCGCGAGCTCATGTAACATAAATGTTGGAAAACAATTGGTTTTTTTAGGATTCGGACAGCGCGCGCGGGTAGAAAATTTGAAAAGTCGTGCAGGTGTTTTTCGAGGACCTACGGTGCGATTCGTGTGATTTTATGATGCGCGGTGCTAAAATTCTTAAGAAGCCCAATGGTTTTTGGAGATTTCGGCGTGCGCGCGCGAAGAAAAAAACGAATGTGTCCCGCATGGTATTATTTGACAGGGATGATGGCACTGGCAGGTGCGCAACCGTTGTTGCAGAAGTTCGAAAAAGTTGCTCGCAAAAGCCCGTTTGACAGAAATGTTTAAAAAGTGTTGGGTTTCCTACGAATCCGCAAGAGCGCGCGGGATGAAATTTTGACAATTTTGTTTGAAAAACCATTGGTTTTTTGATGTTTTTATGTTAAAATCGTTGCGAACACTAAGGTTTTGGAAGGATTTCGTCTTGCGCGCGCGAATGTCCACTTTACCTTATTTTTTGCAAGGGATTCTTGAAATTTGATTATATTAGAACAAGAAATGTCATTTTATAGTGTTTTTTGCAAGGGAAAACGGATTACAACAAAACAACCGGATCTGGACCCATCCACTTTTCTGAAGCTTTCGCGAAAAAATGATGAAAATGTAGCTGCGGCCTAGGCGCGGCGGGGGGGCCGTGCACCAGGGGCCCCAACAATAATTATTCTTTAGAATTAATAATGTTCAACAACAACAACAACAACAACAACAACAACAACAAAAACGATTCCAAGCAGGCCGCCCGCGCCTGCGCAGCCGAAAACGCGCCCAGAGACCCCGCGGGGCCCCTCCCGGAGCCGCCCATTGCGGCCCTTTGGTTTCGCCTGGGTCCCTCCTGTAGGCTCTCGTCGGGCCTGTCCCCCTACCCCTACAGGGGGATTCTCGACGAAAAATAAAAGATACCCAAAACATAGTCAAAACATAGTCCAAAATAGTCTGAGAACCATTTTTTTTAGTATTTTTTGACCTTCTTGGGGTATGTTTGGAGTATTTTTCATCTTTCGTCGAAAACCCCCCTGTAGGGAGACACGCCCGACATAACCGTAGGCTTTCGATGTCCACCTGTCGCGCCGCGCCAGCGGTCGCCGTGGGGCGCAGCAGCCAGGCGGAAACCGCCACGTCGAGAAGGCAAGGGCTCATGGGCGCAGCTCGATTGGGGTTGGCTGTGGGGCCACGAAGCGCAGTACGCATTCGCAGCGAGGGACGTGTTCGCCCTTCCCCGATGTAAGCTGCAGCTATGGTATATATT